AGCTGAACTCGTGAATCCTCACTTTGCCACTCTTTGGCATGCTGCCTAGAAAGTTGCTGGTGTTTTTTTGTAGCCTTCCTGCTTCGAAATGAAACCTACCACAACAAGGCAGTGGCCTCTGGGACTATTTACTTTCTCGGCAATAACAGGTGCCTTGGCTCTCCCCTCAGCATCCCCTTAGTGCCCATCTTAACATCCAGAGCCCCAGATGGAGACGTCAGCCACATAACATCACTGGTGATACTGTGCATGCAGCAGTCAGGAAGGTTCAGTCCCTTCAGCAGCAGCCTGCCTCTCCTCCGCTACCTTCCTTTGTTTTCCCAACAAGCTGCTCCAGTGGGGGAGTGGGGCATGGCTGGGGCAGATCTGTGCCTAGGCAATTCTGCACTCTTGGCTGCCAGGGGCCGGTGAAAAGAGGGCAATTTACAGTCACTGGAAGGTTATAACATAACCCAACTCCTTTCTTCAAATTCAGAATTATAACACACAAGAACCCAGAAACAGTGTGTGACAAAGCAGGCTGCTCCCTAAAACAGAGAGGCCCAATCACTCCCCTTTGCTCTAAGCTGGCTCTTTGCAGACTGACTGTGCAAGCTCCCAAGGCTGCAAGGAGGATCAGGAAAACCCTGGAATGTCAAATTGGTAGCTTACAGTTTTCAGCACACCCCAGTTTCAGTCATGCCATTTCGCTTTTGCTCTAGTACATAGGAACTTCGAGTCTGAAACTGACATGGGTACAAATCAAGGACAAGGTTGAAACTGACTTAAGACCCAACTGGAGCACGTTTGCCCTTTGTTACTTGTGGCTCACTTTGGTTCTTAAGGTCCAGCCAGAGAGCTTGGCTCGGTTTCCTTGCGGCTTTCTTGCCTTGGAGTGCTACAGAGCTCCTGGTACATGGAGGATTTTCCTGGAATTGCACGGTCTGGAAACCACTGCACTGGCAGCCAAGTGGATCGAGCTGGCATTTAAATCCTGTAGCTTAAAAAAACGCCAAATCCTGCAATACTAATTCTTCCTTTATCCCGCCCTTTGTGTGGGTGTATCTCTGCTGCAGTGCCCGCTGATTACAGGTAAATGTACCCAACCTAGCTGTATCTGGCTAAAAGCAGCAGTGTAGATGTGGTGCTGTAGGAGCCCATCCAGACCCTAGCTATGCACTTGTGTTGCTGACCAATGCAGAAATCCCTGCTGCCGCATCTACGCAGCTATTTTTAGCCATGCTAGGGCTGGTATGTCTACCCAAGGTGCACTGACCCTCAGATTGCAGTGGAGACAAACCCTGTGTGTACAGTGCCTAGCACAATGTGGCCTCGATGTCAATTGGGTGCTACTGTTGTACAAATAATTAATAATAAATGATACTCCTAGTTTTGCATGCAAGCCTAGAGTTTCTCTGCCAACGTCCTAGCTTGTAATTGCATTGGAAAACCATTCCCAGAGAGTAGTTATCAGTGGTTCACAGTCAAGCTGGAAGGCCATAACAAGTGGGGTCCCCCGGGGATCAGTCCTAGGTCTGGTTCTGTTCAATACTTTCATCAGTGATTTAGATAATGGCCTAGAGAGTACACTTATAAAGTTTGCAGATGATACCAAGCTGGGAGGGACTGCAAGTGCTTTGTAGGACAGGATTAAAATTCAAAATGATCTGGACAAACTGGAGAAAGGGTCTGAGGTAAATAGGATGAAATTCAATAAGGACAAATGCAAAGTGCTCCACTTAGAGAGGAACAATCAGTTGCACACATATAAAATGGGAAATGACGGCCTAGGAAGGAGTACTGCGGAAAGGGATCTGGGGGTCATAGTGGATCACAAGCTAAATATGAGTGAAGACTGTTGCAAAAAAAGTGAACATCATTCTGGGACATGAGAAGTAGTTCTTCCGCTCTACTCCGTGTTGATTAGGCCTCAGTCGGAATATTGCATCCAGCTCTGGGCGCCACATTTCAGGAAAGATGTGGACAAATTGGAGAAAGTCCAGAGAAGAGCAACACAAATGATTAAAGGTCTAGAAAACATGAGATAGGAGGGAAGATTGAAAACCTTGGGTTTGTTTCGTCTGGAGAAGAGAAGACTGAGGGGGGGCATGATAACAGTTTTCAAGTACATAAAAGCTTATTACAAAAGAAAAGGACAAAAACGTGTTTTCCTTAACCTCTGAGGATAGGACGAGAAGCAGTGGGCTTAAATTGCAGCAAGGGAGGTTTAGGTTGGACATTAGGAAAAACTTCCTGACTGTCGGTGGTTAAGCACTGGAACAAATTGCCTAGAGAGGTGGTGGAATCTCCATCATTGGAGGTTTTTAAGAACAGGTTAGACAAACAGCTGTCAGGGATGGTCTAGTTATTACATAATCCTGCCTTGAGTGCAGGGGACTGGACTAAATGACCTATGAGGTCCCTTCTATGGTTCACAGAGAGCTTCCATTACACATGAATTCCCGAAACCTTTGCCTCTGGATTTCTGGCCTGCGTTTGCCAGAAGGATCAGCAGTTATCTTTCAGCGTTTTCACCCAGCGCCAAACTCAACAGGAGCCTGCTTATAAAATGGCCATTGTCCTGATGGCCAGATTCCTTTCCCCAATATCCCCCCCCCAGAATGAATTTGAACCAGTAACTGTGACATTATTAGGGGAGGGTAGCTGTGAAATGAAAGATGGATTAGCGTGTTAATTTAGAACCTTCCACATCTCCTGCATAAATAAATAACAGGCGTAAAACGCTCTCCCTCTTGGGCTTGGGACGCGGAAATTGTTCCTGGACTCAGGCTAGTGATTAGTATTTAAATGTTTGGTATTGCCAGGCCAGTAGCTGCAATAAAAGTGAAACCTGTGTTCCATGTTCAGCAGTGCTACAAATTAAAGTGGAATGAGGCTGAATTAGCCAGTGAATATTATCAATTCCCGTGCAGAGCCAACAGTCAATAAATCTTTGTTGTATTTGACTCTTTTTCAGCCACGTTCTGCCAAAGCGATTATTAAAACAAGTGGATAAACGTCAGCTGTGCATCCAGTTTCTAAGCTTACATTTTTTTAGCTTTTTGCAGTAGTGGTGTAGCCATGTTGGTCCCAGGATATTAGAGAGACAAAGTGGGTGAGGGTAATGTCTTTTCTTGGACCATCTTCTGTTGGTGAAAGAGACCACCCTTCTAGCTACACAGAGCTCTTCTTTAGGTTTTAAATGTAGGCTTTTTGTATTCAAGCAGTCTCAGTCCCAGTGCAGACATGTTCTGTGCCTTTTAAGCCAGCATTCCCATTTGTATATCCCCTTCCAGTATATCAGTAGGACAGATATCAGGCTGTATACTGCAAATGCAGCCACAATATTTCAGAAGCATTGTCGTCCTTCGTGGGTGATTTATACACCCCCAAATTTAGACGAAGCCTGTTCAAGTTATTTGCTCTGAAGCTTCATTACCTACCCATTTAACAAAGTTGACTTAAATTGTTATTAGGTTTCAGAGTTAACATCTACTTTGATGACTGGAAGCATTACACTCTTCCATCAGTTCTGTTGCTTCAGGCTGTCTGCATGTTGTCAATCAAAAGCGTCTGTAGCAAATTCTGCAGGAAAGGGGGCGACGTGGCTTTGGAATACACTGGGCCCTGCCCATGCTGCCTCTGGTCTCTTCGAAACTGCAAGTTCAGAGACGACTTTCTGAACTGATCTCTTGAGAAAGTTTAAGCAGGCAGGAAAAGTAAATCTCCACCTAATACTAATAATCGCACCTGGCTCTTTTGGTCCATAGCTCGCAAAGCACTTTACAAAGAAGGTGAGTATCATTGTCCCTATTTTACAGAGGGGAAAACTGAGGCACGGGGAGATGAAGTGATTTTTAAGTGACTCACCCAACAGGCCAGTGAGAGACAGGAATTGAATCGAGGTCTCCTGCGTCCCACTCCCTATCCACTAGGCCATGGGGTGTGCTTTGCATTAGCGGCATTTCAGTTTACCCTCAATGCACCTTGTGAAGTTGCCAGCAAAACGACACGTCTGTCGAAAGTGTGTTTGCGCCTTCAGGGAATCGCTGCAGCAAATGGCGATGAGTGAAATAAAGCCGGTTTGCCTAGCGCCGATGACCGTGTTCTACAGCGTAGGTGGTGCGTGTCTGGGTGGACTGAGCTGGATTGTGTGTATTGGAGGCCCTCTAAGGGTGATCCTCTGGACGTCAAGGGATTCATGCCTCCAGTCAGTGCTGGATTAAGGTTTAAGCACTACAGGCCCGGCCACCTGGAATCATGTGGTTACATCAGCATCTTAGCTTTCATTCAAACCCGCTGCTCTGGGGGGCGCTGCCTCAGCAGATGAGGCTCTGGGGGGCGCACCTTCTCTGCCATCACCCCATCGTAGCTCTGCTGGGTGGCGTCGGCAGGGATCCCTGCCCCACAGCCATCTGCTTGGATGGGTGGAGGTGGAGTCCTTCCTCTGGGGCAGAGCTTAGTCTGCCGAGAGGTCTGGAGTGGTGGGATTGGGCTCCTTACCAGTTTAGAAGACAACAGATGTGTGTCTGACCCCTGCTGCTGCTATTACATGATGGAGGGGTGCGGGGGCAGAGCCACGGAATGAGGGTGGGGCACGAGCCACAGAATAGGGGTTGGGCTTTGAAGTGCCCGTAGGCATGCCCAGGATTGTCTTAATTCGAGCCCGCCTCCAGTTACAGAGAGAACCCCGTAGCTTCTGCTCGACAGCAGTCGGCAAGTTTCTGGCTTGAGCATGCTGTTGGCAAAATGGGACTGCATCCGAGAGGAGGGTGGGGGTAGGGAACCAGCTGGCGACAGGAAGTTGGGCATGAATCCTGGGTGCTCTTACTTGCACCGAGGGGAAGCACTGCATGGGAAGTATCATAGGGATGTCCCTGTGGGCATTTGAGCTAAGGAGGGAGCAGGGCCATCCCACAGGGCAAATTGGGAGCAAATCGTGCAGGAGGCCAAGCTGTGAACTGGATCTCTCCGGTCATCCTGACTCCCCTCTCTCTGCCCCATCTCCTCTCTTCCTGCAGGTGCCCATCGCTACACTGCATTGCACTGAAGATGTCTAACAGCAACACGACGCAAGAGACCCTGGAAATAATGAAAGAGTCGGAAAAAAAGCTGGTGGAGGAATCTGTGAACAAAAACAAATTTGTATCCAGGTCACCGAGCAAGGAAGAGGTTGAGAAGGAAGGGGAGGAGGCCAATGTACGGCAGGAGTCTCAGGTAAGCACATGGCACCTTTTCATCCTCCAGTCCCAACGTTACCATTACGAGAGGCAATGGCAAACTGGCCCAATTTGTGGAGGCTCCCATTGCACCCCACTAGCCACCCCTACCATTTGACGCGTTTGCAAAGGCTGGAAATGTTTGCATGAAACACCCACCTAGTTAGCGGGGAGATCCTGCCTGGAAAGGGTTATGCGGGTTTTGCTGTCTCGCTGAGGCGGGTGGTTCAGTATCCTGCCCAGATGGGTGTAAGGAAAAGAGGGAGTGGCTCTGTAGAGAGACAGAGAGGATATTGTGTGTGGGCTGAGCAGTCCTCAGGGAGGAACCCAAGTTTTGAGCTGAATTGTATCATCTCGGGGTTTTCTTTAACAAGCCAACCCTCTTGCAGGAAGTGGGTGAGTTTGGAATTCAACGAGGGAACCAGATCCTCAGCTTGTGGAAATCAGCATAGCTCCAGCGAAACCACTGGAGTAACCACCAAGTCACGTCCCCTCTCTGTGCCTCTTTCTCCTGTCTGTTACGTCTATTTAGCCTGTAAGCTCTTCGGGGCAGGACTTGTCTCTTACTGTGTGCCCCATACAATGACTAGCACAATGGGGCCCGATCACAGTTGTGGTCTCTAGGCACTACTGAGATACAGACCGACTGGCGCCAGCTGGCCTAGAGCGTGGACTTGTCAAGCACGTTGAGAAAGGCACCAGGGTATAGACGCCAGCTTTCTCAGAACAGGCTCGCAAGGTTGGCATGGAAGGGAAGGTTTGGAAAGATCCCAAAATGGATCTTGCTGAAGCTGCATCCATCTGTGTGCGAAACACGGCGATTTGTGGTAACGTTCCACTTCAAGGTGCTTCCGTTGTACTTCACCCTGAAGGGGGGGGGAACACTGGCCTTGCTGCTGGATGGTAGTCGCTGTGATGGTAACGTGTTTGGGATGATACACGGCGTGATTCTGCGCTTGAAATCCAGTGCCTGGCGCTAGATTTCCTATATAAACTGGCATACAAGCGCCATCGCTGTGCAGAAATAGGCCAGGACGCCGCCACTTTAAGATGAATGGAGTAGGAGGGGGTTTGTCCAGCTCCAAATGAGGCAGCAACAATTGACACCCCGCCACTGTGATTCATTTCCCCTTGATTGCTATGGCAGCAGGTGCTGTTGAGTCATTGCCTGTCTTGGGACCCTGCTCAGAGCTCACCTGGCCCTCGGCTTGTCCCACTGCTTCCAATAACCCTGTCCCAACCTCAGGTACCTCTCGCCACTCTGCTCCTTGTGGTCCTGCTAAGTGGAGTTGTGGCATCTCTGACGGGATCAGCCCTTGCAGCAGGGTGGCCCCCCAGTTCTAGGGGTCGGCCTGTGGAAAGGGCGCTGAGCCCTTTGGCCATTCCCTTCACCTCTGGGTTTAGCGGGCGTTTGCTCGTTAAATGACTCGTTCGCTTTTCTAGGCTTGGACTTTGGCTGAGAGGACAGAGCTCCTTGCAGAGGGGCGTCTCTTCTGGCAGCTCCCAGCCAGCTCATTTTTAAAGGAGTTTGTCTGTCTTGCGCATTCAGGGAAAGTCCCCACTCCACTCAGCACAGCTCCCGCTCAGTGCCAGCGGCCCGGCTGAGCCTCATGGTCCCGCCGAGCTGCGATCCAGGATGTCTATAAGCGGGCCCTGCGAGCCTGGTCCTGAGCTCCGCTGCGTGGCTTCTGACATGGAGATGTGTCAGATGGCATTTGCTGCAGGTTTCTGCCTCCGGGAGCTATCGCAACCGAGCGCGCTCCGTCAGCTCCCGCGACGTGGGAGCGCCCAGCGCCAGGCAGATGATCGGCTTCTTTACGAGACCTCATCGCCGAGCTGCTCTGCAAGCTGGTGGTGGGGAGAACTTCGGCTGCGTCAGATCGCAGGAGGGTACCGCAAAGAGAAGCCACGGCTGCAGCTGATATTAAGGGAGGAAAAGTAAGACGGCCAAATAAAATACCACCGTTTGGAGACGAGGCCTGCGAAAGGAGCAGTGTGTGGGGGGGTGACCTGGGGGCAGGGCCGATTTGCAGAGGGCGCTCTGACAGTCGAGCTCCGAGCCTTCCCTCAGTGGGCCCGTGACTGCAGTCGAGGTGGCGATATTGCCTCACTGCTTCCCGGGGGGTCGTGAGGCTTCCTGCAGGTTTGCAGAGCACGGAGACGTGCCCCCATGACCCGGCTGGAGAAGTGCAGAGGGGGCTGCTTGTGACAGTGGGTGCTGCTGAAACTTGTCGTAAAGGGATCTGTCTAGATGGTGAAAGGCACCCTGCTTCTCTGACTTGAGTGAGAAGGCTCAGACCTGGCCTGTGTGCCCCCCCTGTGCTGACAACCTGATTTACTGCACGTATCGGAGTCCTTAGGAGCCCCAGGCATGGTCCACGACCCGACTGTGCCAGGCGCTGTACAAACACAGGACAAAAAACCAGCCTCTGCCCCAAAGAGCTGACAATCTACGTGTAAGACAAGAGACAACAGGCGGACGCAGACAGACAGGGAAATGACGAGACAGTGTCCGAGCTCCTGAAGCCTTGTTCTTTGCGCCACCTAAAGACGCTGCTTCTGAAGCGTTGCGGAGCTCTGCATTTCATGCTATCCCGAGTGACGCTCTGGGAGGCTGGGCCGGGCAGGGAAAAGACTTTTCTCCTCGATTTCCCAGCCTGTCCCTCCCCAGCAGCTGCTCCCGAGTCACCGTTTGCACATTTCCATGGGCGACGTGAAGGGTTTTCGTGGTTACTGTTTGGACTCGGGATCTTTCTGTATAAGACAGACTCTGTGCTGTGGTCTGGCGAAAGCCCGAGGCGGTAAATTGACAGACTTTTGATCCCAACCACAGCCCTGGCTGCTGAACGGTGAGTGAAACAGGAGCGTCACCCGAAAGCACATGCACAGTCGACACCAGAAAGGTCCTCCCCTGAGCCCAGACAATTTAGGTCTGCGTGAGACTCGACTCCTCGCTGTGGGAGCCAGTGGAGGGAAACCTGCATTGGGAGCATAGTGGACAGAAAGGAGTGAGAGCTCCCTGGCTTCCCTGAAGAGGTGGTGAGCACTAAGTGATCCCTCTCCAGAGAATCTTCTTGCACGAAGCTCTATAGCAAAGTTATCTCATGGCCTGTGGTCTGAGTCTGGGAGTGGTTTGGAGAGCGTTTGCTAGACCCCACCTCTCTGTCCCGGCGGCCTGCAATCCTCTTATCGCTCTGCAGCCGTTCTCCTTCAAGCTGGCATCAGACAGACGCAGTACGGTGCCGAAGCAGAATGAGGGGCTTCGACTTTTATCGGAGATTTGGGTTGTTACGCTGAGAAAAGCTCTTCTAGAAAGGAAACCTTCCCAGGCAGACTTAGGCAGTACGTCCCCGTCTAACTGTCCTGGCTTAGCGAGGTAGGGGTCGGAATCCTCGCGCTGACTTCTCAGACCTGCGTCATTTCAATGACAAATCAATCCGGGCGCTTCCTGGGAACTTGCTGTGCGTACGATGGGGAAATGTTAATATCCGCTTCTTGTACTTCTCTTCTGTGTGTGTCTCTGCTTCCGAGGGCTGCGACAGGTGGCGGGTTCTGAAAGGCTAGTTCTTCATAGGGCCTGGAAGGCAGATTCTGAACCCACTGTGGCCAGACTTCACATCTGTTGAGGGTGAACTATAAAGAAGGTATTGTTTCCACTCCAGCCGGCCCCATCACATACACATACCCACTCCCCAGCGCGAGTAAATAATGTTTCATTATTACACTGGGAAGACAAGGTGGGAGAGGCAATATCTTTTATTGGGTCGATGTCTGTTGGTGAATGAGACGTTGGTCCAATAAAAGAAATTACTTCACCCACCTTGTCTCTTTCATATCCTGCCACACGGCAGCCAGTCATAATACTCCTCTCGTCTCTCCGTGGAATATCTCATTGAACCATCTCTCAGCAGGAAAGTTGTTCTGCTCCTGGGGTGCTAGAGGAAGCCGGCGCTAAACATCTGCCATGTGCAAGTTTCAGACTCCGGGCTGGGGCGAGGAGGGGGCCGCAGACAGGCTGGATTTACGACCTTTCATTTCATGCTCCTGTTCAGTCTTCGGCTGGGGCCTCGTCACAGGCCTGGTGATCAGGCCTACCCAGGTCCCAAGGAGCTTCAATTGGCTTTATAATTCATGATGACAAATTTGTGAAGGGAGATTAACCTTGTGCTTCAGGGTTTAAAATAATCTCTAATTATTAGAGACCAGGATTAGACCTGAAGTGGGGGCAGATTATCCCACACCTGCTACTGGGGGCTTTTTTTGCACCCTCCTCTGAAGCACCAGGTGCCGTACACTGGCGGAGATGGGCATACTTAACTGCGCTAGATGGACCAGGGGTCTGAGCCCGTCGGCTGATTCCTCTGCGAATGGTTTGCCTCTTCGGGTCTGACAGGCGGCTGTGGGCGACCATCTGTGCTGCCTCCTTTTGGATCCGCTTGCTTCTGTTGCCACCAGAGAGGTTTGGCCTGGAACGTGCTGCGTACGCGGTGGGGTTTGGGCGGCCCTGTGGTGTGTCACTGTAGCAAACCGGTTTATACAGCATGGCGTAGGTTCAGATTAAACCTCTCGCTTTCTCTTTCCTCTCCCCACAGAGGCGGACTTCAAATCATGGACACGCCAGAAAAAGAGCCAAGGTAGGAGACCTCCCCCCTCCCCTCCCCTCCCGGCCTGCCTTCTGTGGGAGCGCTGAGCTACAGTCCCACAGTGACCCCAGAACTCCACAATCCTCCAGTTAGCGCTTCTGGAAACGGCCATTAAGCCAGTTCCCCAGCTACCCTCTCCCCGCCTCCTCGAGCCAAGCGCAGCAGCTGTTTGGACACCTCGCTGGCCTGTTTTGCTCTCTCTTATTACACTGACAGCCTGCGCTCAAGCCCCAGGGACCCTGACAAGCCACTGGGCTGTTCTGCGCTCTCCGAGCTGGGTCTGTGCCCTCCACGGAGTCCTGTGGCTATGAAACTCCAGAAGGGAATTCGCTTGTCCGATTAGTTGGTGAGGTGGCTGTTTACCTGGATACATCTGTGTTCTGCCCAACCAAGGACATTCACCTACCAATTGACCCAGCGGAGGAGTGAATTTTCACTCAGTTAAAATAAGAGTGAAAAATATAAATGGAAAATAATGTTTTGGAGCCATCTAGTTACACCTATTTTCCCCTCCTCTTCAGAGAATATTGTGGCACAAGCCGGCCTATCACATATGATTTTAATCTATTTCCTGCTCCACTCCCTTGATTTAGCAGACAAAGGCCTAACAAAATCCAGTGGCTGGAATTTGAAGCTAAACCAATTCCGACTGGAAACAAGGCGTAGGTTTTTAGCAGTGCGGGTAACGAACCATTGGAATGACTTCCCAAGAGCTGTGGCAGATTCTCGGTCACTGGCGATTTTTCCATAAAGATTGAATGTTTTTCTAAAGGAGATGCTGTAGTTTGAGCGGGTGATTTCAGGGAGGTCCCAGGGCCCATGTTACACAGGAGGTCACACTAGATGATCAGGGTGGTCCTGTCTGGCCTTAGGATGGTTAATTCAAAGCAACAGAGCTGGAATAATCTGCCCAACGGCATCCCTCTTTCTTCATTAGTACCCTGCGTGGCGGTCAGACAACATGATCTAATGGTCCCGTCTGGCCTTAATCTGGGAATGTATCCAGCAGCCAGGAAGGCTGGTGCTCCGGTGACCCCCTCCCACAGTGGGGGAGAGCCCATGCTATGCTCAGCCCTGCTCCCCAGAGCCGGAGCTCCCCAGGAGCTCGGTGGTTGTGTGACACATTTTGGGCTGAGAGTCCGAAGCGTTATAAAAGCGTTACTTTGAACCCGAAGTTGTCGAGCCGGCAGGTACGGTGGAAATGGGATGGCAGCTGTTTAGTTAAACCAAGGAAAGCAGAAACATCACTTCCTGCTGCGAAAGACGTAGTCAGTTTCAGGGTTGCCCCTTATTCAGGGTTTAACACTTGGCAGGTTATTTGGTATGTGGGCTTGCAGAGGCGGAAGCAGGCTGTGTAACTGCTCGGCGAGATTTCATGCTAACAGAGGCTAAGTGGTACGGTGGATTAGCACAATAGCCTTTCACCTCAAGTGTGGTGGGGTCAGTCTCAATTAAGGTCTCTAGAAAAGAGTAATTTGTTGCCCTCACACCCCCAAACCTCTACTTTTGCATGTGTTACTGCTGGCTCGGAGAATTTGCATTTGAGCCGGCATGTCATTGTGATGGCAGCAGTTTAACTGGCGCTGATGACGTGAGCAGCTTAGTCGCACGTCAAAGTGCACTTGAGACGCATGTGGTGTTTCTTTGTATTTCAGTCTAATTCGAAGCTCAAGCTGGTCAGGAGCCTGGCAGTGTGTGAAGAATCCTCCAGCCCCTTTGTGGATGGGCCCTTGGAAGCCCAGGTAGGCCAAGCTTTATCCAGATCAGAAAACGTGAGCACTTTTTTTCAGTGCTGGTCCAAGGGAGAACCGCTCCCAGCAATGGCTCCGTTTCCTAGGTCGCATCACAGGACAAGCTAGGGGTGCGATTCTCTTGCTCGTTGGCACATTCTTGCACTAGCTGGTATAAACAGCAGTGTAGCCACGGCAGCATAGGAAGTGGCAGCAGAAGCACAGCTGAGCTGTGCCGAGTACAAAGCCACCTGAAACCGGGGCGTCGTGCCTTCACTGCAGCTACCCATCCTACCGGGACTATCCTGCTATTTATACTCACACTAGCTCGCTGATAAAGACAAGCCATTTGCTTTGTGTACAAAGGCATCGTAAATAACAACTTAACTGCCCTCCCCAAACAAACATGAATCCGAGCGCAGCATATCGAGTCGGGTCCCACAGGGATCAGTGCTGGGTCCGGTTCTGTTCAATATCTTCATCAGTGATTTAGATAATGGCCTAGATAACGGTTGTGGATGATACCAAGCTGGGAGAGGTTATAAGTGCTTTGGAGGAGAGGATTACAATTCAGAATGATCTGGACAAACTGGAGAAATGGTCTGAGGTAAATAGGATGAACTTCAATAAGGACAAATGCAAAGTGCTCCCCTTAGGAAGGAACAATCAGTTGCACACATACAAAATGGGAAATGACTGCCTAGGAAGGAGTACTGCGGAACGGGATCTGGGGGAAAGCTAAATATGAGTGCACAGTGTAACGCTGTTGCAAAAAAAGCAAACACCATTCTGGGATGCATTAGCAGGAGTGCTGTAAGCAAGACAGGAGAAGTAATTCTCCCGCTCTACTCCGTGCTAATTAGGCCTCAGCGGGAGCATTGTGTCCAGTTCTGGGCGCCACATTTTAGGAAAGATGTGAACAAATTGGACAAAGTCCAGAGGAGAGCAACAAAAATGATTAAAGGTCTAGAAAACATGAGCTAGGAGGGAAGATTGAAAAAGCTGGGTTTGTTTAGTCTGGAGAAGAGAAGACTGAGAGGGGACGTAAGAGTTTTCAAGTACATAAAAGGTCGTTACAAGGAGGAGGGAGAAAAAAATGTTCTCCATAACCTCTGAGGATAGGACAAGAAGCAATGGGCTTAAATTGCAGCAAGGGAGGTTTAGGTTGGACATTAGGAAAAACTGCCTGACTGTCAGAGTGGTTAAGTCCTGGAATAAATTGCCTAGAGAGGTTGTGGAATCTCCGTCATTGGAGATTTTTAAGAGCAGGTTGGACAAACACCTGTCAGGAATGGTCTGGGTAATACGTATTCCAGCCATGAGTGCAGGGGACTGGACTAGATGACCATCGAGGTCCCCCCCCATCCTGTGATTCTGTGACTTAGCTATCAAGTGCACGTTCCCTGATGCTGCTCACGCCAGCCGCCGTGCGTGGAATCCGAAGAGCCACAAGGACACGTTTGGGGGCGTTGAGCTCAACAAAGTGCTGTTTGCTTATTTCTAGGACATTATTCAGTTGCATGTCAGTTGCCCCTCGGACAAGGAGGAGGAGAAGTCTACAAAGGATGGGCCCGAGAAAGAGGAAAAAGACAAGAATAAGGAGAAGGCACCAAGGAAAATGCTCTCTAGAGGTTAGTGCACTGGCGTGGGGCTGCAGGAGCCTGTTTCCTGGGTTCGGACAGCCGGGACTCAGCCATTGGTGCAGGGAGGCCGATCTCTGTTAACTGGCACGGTCCTTTGGGGTTTTGTTATAACTTCATTTGCAGGGGGGCGCATTCCTGTCAACTGGAATGTGTTCTACCGGACACCCCAGTGCAGGATGGGGTAGTAACTCTTGCTTCAGCATGGAGGGCTGGACTAGCGGACACCTCAAGGTCCCGTCCAGCCGACGTTTCTATGACGCTGTGACACGTGGCTTCCTTTTATGGTCTTGGAGATCTGGATGTTTTTGAATGATACAGCTACAAACAACCCCACCCCGGAGAAGTTCCTGCTTTCAGTTTCTCTTTGTGAAACTCACCAGTAGAGACGGGGCTGTAGAGGGGGTTTGGGAGACGTCCAACCCAGAGGTTTTATACAAATCCCTCTTTTAAAATTTCGGGACATAAAAGTGGTTGAAAGAGCAAAGTTTAAAATTTGCATCCAGAGAGCGAATCATACCTGAAATCCTGCCGCGGAGAGTCGCTCTTCTGCCAGCTCCGCTGTGTTGGGGCAGGTGAAATGTCCCGTACGGCTTTTCTGCTACCACTTTAAAGAAGGATATTCATGGTGAAGTGACCTCTGAGGTCTAGGATACAAAAGTCATTCACGTGGAAGGCTTCTAAGCGTCCACGTTTGGGCACTAGAGGGCATCCCACTAGCACTGCCCAGGGGGGTGACCTGTTTAACAGTGTAGCGCTGAGAACATCGGGCTGTTGCAGATTTCTTTTCAGCCTCCTTAACTTTTGCATGAAGATTTTTATTTCTCTGAATGTTAAATAGATTTTTAGAATGAAAACGTTCCCCGTTCCCTTCTCTAATTGTTGTTTGCAATGCTTCGCAAACTGTTTTATTCTGGGTCTTTGTGGGTTCTTATAGGGCCCCGGTGACCAGATCATCTGATGTGTATTCCTGTTTTAATCTTCCCACCGCCCTTGGGGTTTAGGGAACTATCACCCCCTCCATGTTACAGCTAGGGAAACTGAGGCACAGAGCGATTCTGTGACTTGCTCACGATCGTGGAAGGAGTGTGTGGCAGAGCCAAGAATTGAACCCAGGTGTTCTGGGTCCCTGTCAAGTGCTGTAATCACAAGATCAGTCTCCCTTCCTTTTGAACGGCTGTGACGAAGTGGGAATGTTCTTAATGTTTTCTCTGAATACTGTGTGTGTGCCTCAGTTTCCCCTATGCATTTCTTAAGTATCTAGGTGGTGGGATAAGGGGTGCGATGGTTGCAGAGCCCTAGAGGGCAGGGGTGATGTAGCACTTAGAAGCCCCAGTCCTGGATCAGTCCTAGGCGCTGAATACACTCTGAAGAAAAAGACAGGACGCTTCCCTTAATCTGTTCTGTTGTTGTTTCAGATTCCAGCCAAGAATACACAGACTCCACTGGAATAGATTTGCATGAATTTTTAGTAAATACACTGAAAAAAAATCCAAGGTAGGTCGCAAGATGGTAAAACCACCGGTTGATTGAGCGGAGGGAGGAAGATGCTGTTAACCGATGCTCCACACTCCAGGGATTAAGGCAGGGGTGGCCAACCTGTGGCTCCGGAGCCACATGCGGCTCTTCAGAAGTCAATATGTGGCTCCTTGTATAGGCACCGACTCTGGGGCTGGAGCTACAGGCGCCAACTTTCCAATGTGCCGGGGGGTGCTCACTGCTCAACCCCTGGCTCTGCCACAGGCCCTGCCCCAACTCCACCCCTTCCCCCAAAGCCCCCGTCCCTTCCCCCGAACGTGCTGTGCCCTCCCTACTCCCCCCTGTCCCCCCAGAGCCTCCTGCGCATGCAAAACAGCTGATCACAGCAGTCAGGAGGCATGGGGGGAGGAGAAGGCGCTGGGGGCTGGAGGTGGGGAGCTGTCGGGGGGCTGCTGACGTATTACTGTGCCTCTTTGGCAATGTACATTGGTAAGTTCTGGCTCCTTCTGAGGCTCAGGTTGGCCACCCCTGGATTAAGGGAAGGGTTTGCATGACTGCAGACAAAATGCGGGGCGGGGGGGCTGTCAGAAATCGCAACCCCCCTGGTGGTGGGTTTCACACCTGGAAGTTCAGGGGGACTTGGCCCCCAGTAGAAGGTTGATAAACCCAGGCAGGAGGAGCAGTCATTTCATTATTGCAGGCTAGTGAAACAGACACGCTTGTGCATTATGGATTGAAATTGAGGGAGGAAAAATAATTGGTTTGAATACAGGCAGGAAGGGAGCCTTAATTGCTCTCAAATCCCTCCTCTAAATAGCTATCAAAGACCTGTCTGTAGAGCGCCTGCCACCCTATCCGTAATAAACAATATCAGACCGACTGCCAAGCCCTGGTTAGGCATAAAAATAACAAGCCGTTTCTATCTGTACGGCCACCACTGGCGCAAGGATCTAATGGTCCCAGAAACAGTCATCATGCAGCAATGGATCGCCGTGAACAGAAAAGCTTGACTCATCATTGATTATGTATTTTTTTTTAATACTCTGCAGCGGAGGGAGGGCGAAGCCTGCGTGTTTAATAACCTGGAGCTTTGCTAATGCCAGGCGCTTCCTGTTTCTCGGGGGTGGAGGGAGTGTTAATCTGCAATTCTCGAAACGAGCTGCGTTCTTCTCTCCTCTTCGAAATGTGATTGATTGGTTTCTTCTTCTCCCCTCCACTTTTTCTGGACAGGGATCGAATGATGCTGCTAAAGTTAGAACAGGAGATCCTGGAATTTATTAGCGATAACAAGTAAGTGGCCAGCGGAGTTTGCATGAAGCGAAGCTGGTTGGTGACTTGGGAAGTAGGAGGCGCTCTCACTCTGACGGGGGAAGAGAACAAGGCTCACGCATATCTGATAAGAGAGCGGTTTGAAAACAGCCTGCTCCATCTGCCGTGCTCTACGGCTCCCATTGCCACCGGCTCTGAGCGCTTGACAATATTGAATGTGTCTATTTATCCTCCCACAGTCCTGGGTGGCGGGGCAGGGCTGTTCCCCCCCGTTTCACAGATGGGGAAGTAAGGCACAGAGAGACTTCACGGGTCTGTCTTCACTGCCCAGTTAATCTGGATGTCTGGCTCCCTGGTCAGCCTAGCCTGGGTGCGAGCATCCTCACAGCAAAGCCCTCTCCGAATTGCTGGGTCCTCATTGGTTCTGCATTTGCTTGGGTGTGGCTTGGGGCATATCCCATGAGTCTTTGTGCTGAGACGCTATAGGATTCTTTCCCAGTCGCTTGTGTCAATTCCAGGGTAACTTGTCTGTCCTTTGGGGGAGGGAGAGAGGTGGCATTGGAGGACTATCCATGCTTGAGAGACTTAGCCACTGTCCTCACTGCAAAATGGGCAGGTTCCAGCCAGAGTTAAAGCAGACTCAAACTCTAACCCCCCCTCCTAGCCATGTAAGCTCGCCTGGGCTTGAAACACCTGGAAAACCCAGGTCAGAGGTTTGTCTGTACGGCGGGTGAGTTGGGTAATTGAAGGCAGAGCAGGGAATTGAGCACAGATCTGCAGGAAAGCCCTGCCCCATGGGAGACTGGCTCGTTCCTGGGCGTGGAACGAGCTGCTGTTCGAATCCAGACCAGGTCATAGCGACTGAAAGCGCCAACTGTGTGAAATGAGTTTGGGTCCCAGGCCGGTTCCCGGGGCCCATGTCACAAAGGCCGGCTCAGCTGTTGGCAGGAGCTTATTCGCAGAGAAGCCTGGGGGCAAGGCAGACCCATTGCCCTCTCTCCCCCAGAGCTGCCCCTTGCAGGGCAGAGCTGGGGTGCAGGGGCAGGCGTCTGTGCTGGTGCCCTCCCTGTCTGGAGGTCAGAGCGAGAACTCAGTGCCCAGCCCTGAACTGTCTCTCGCACAGACACCAGACGTGTCCGAACGTGACCCTGTCCGCTTTGTTTGTTTGAAGGACGCATTTTAAAGATGCTCCTGTTTTGGTAGGGCCCCCTCTAAACAGGAGACCTGAGATTTGAAATAACAGGGATTTTCTAAGGGTTTTCCTCTTGCTCTGCAGCAGCTCAAAACCCAAAGTGCTTTTCGACCTGTCCTACTCCCCTCTCATTCCTGCCCAGAGCACTTGAGAGCGCTCGTCCCTCCAGGGGGCGCTCCCACCCTTCACACAGCCCGTGGGTGTAGTCGGGAGCTGTCATCTGGAGCTCTCAAATGGCTTTACATAGGAGATCAGGGTCAAAGAATTCCATGCTTGACCCAGCTCCCATTGGAACCAGCTTCTGACCTGAGGCCCCAATCCAGCAAAGCCACGAAGCACTGGATGAAAGTTAAGCGTGAATCGGGGCCAGGGCACACAGCTGGTCTTTCTTCCCTTGGGTCCCGGTTCAGCAGCGTTAAGCCCATGAGTCATCCCACCCCTGCTTTGGCGCGTGAAGTCGCTGAGACCGAAGCACATGTTTAAATGCTTTGTTGAATCGGGGCCCTGGTCTTTCTGGGCTGACCCCTGTTTGTGTCTGGTCTGTTTAACGCAGTCTGAATACAAGGGCTCTGTCCCCTCTTCTGTTCTCAGCAATCAGTTCAAGAAGTTCCCGCAGATGACCTCCTATCACCGGATGCTCTTGCACAGGGTAGCTGCCTACTTCGGCATGGACCATAACGTTGACCAAACTGGGAAAGCCGTCATTATCAACAAGACCAGTAACACCAGGATGTAAGGAGAGCCCTGGGGCTGAGGGGAGAGCTGGGAAACCCCTCCCAAGCAACCCCCACCCTCGTACTCCCCACCCCGTCCCCAAAGCACGCCTGGAATATTTCACAGCCTCATCCCGACAGGCCTTTAAAGAGGTGTGGGGAGGGGGGAAGCCTAGAGACCCACCCTCCCAAATCCAAGTGCAGACATGGGTGGGTGCTTTCCCTTTCCTTGAATGCACTGATGCCCCAGCCTGCCTGCACCGTGGCTTGCAGCCTGGAACCTCTGCCCTGACCTCCTCTGCCTCGCACCCCCAGGCCTGCCTGGCAGCAGAGGAACACAGGGAAGGTTCCCGTTCACCTTCGCCTGCCCCTCATGACGGCGTCTTTCCTCCCTGCAGCCCCGAGCAAAGGTTCTCCGAGCACATCAAAGACGAGAAGAACGTTGACTTTCCGCAGAGGTTCATCCTAAAGCGAGACGACGCCAGCATGGACCGGGACGATAATCAGGTGAGTTTGGGTGAGAGGTGTCCAGGCCCTTCCCGAAAGCCGAAGGGGCAACTGCCGAGCTTTGCTCAGTGTCTCTTGGCATCTTGGTAGCCTGGGAATGGGAATGGAACCCGCCGGTGTTTTGATCAGTGAGTTTGGGGACGTTCCTGCTTGCATGGGGGCAGCTTGAAATCCCTCCTGGGTCCGTGCTGTCTCCTTCCACAGCTGTACTCCCAGGAAACTGCCACAGAGGCCCCCACTGGCTCTTCCAGCAGCACGGGGCTAGTGGATGGAAGGCAAATCCCCAGGCACTCTGCAGCAAACTGGACCTCAACCCGCCAGCAGTTTTAGCTGAATTAAAAAAAAAGGCCTTTGGTTAAATGATCAGCAGTGAAATGGTTAACAGCCTTGCCAGTGAATTGCCCAACTGAGCTTTCAGAGTTAATATGCTTTCCCCTCCCCCCAGGGTTTTCCCCAATCCTCACCATGTTGCCAGGCAGGCTCGGCTCCCAGGGTGCTAGAGGTCCCCCAAGGGCCGTGCAGTAGCGAGGAATTCCCCTGGACGAACAGTGAGCTTGAGCCGTTGCAAAGTCACCCCTCAACCCCGCCAGGGCGGCCAGACGAGTAAGCTAATGAAATCAGCAGGGACCCTCGATCCCTGGCCAGAAGGGAGCCTTCACTCAGAGGAGGGATGCAGCCTCCGTGCTCAGGGACCCCTCGCCTCCTGGGAGCTCCACACTGGTGGCTTCCTGCAGCCTGATCCCTCATGCCAGGCAGCCCCGCTCTGCTGCTTCACAGCCCCGCTCAGAGTTTGCTTTTGCAGCCCACCCTCCCCTTGCTCACCTCCTTCCCGCCTGCGTTTGGGATGCCGGCTACAAACTGGAAGAAATCAAACTTGGCGAGAGGCAGATATCCTTCCTAACGAGCCGTCTCCTGCTGCTCTCTGCTGTAGCCTTCTCCTCCCAGGAGCGCCCTTGACGTGTTCTCAGCCCTTGCTTTGATGCTTGTTTTAGATGGTTAGCTCCTTGGGACAGAGAACGGCCATTGCCTGTGAGTGCAATCTCCCATCTTCTTACGAGATCCTGCCCTGCTCCTGTGCTTCTCATGAGGCCTAGATCTTGAGTCCAAGCAACAGGGTGTGCAGGAGCGGGGAGGAGCTTTGACGCTTTGGATTCTGCAACCTGGCTCTACCTTGCCGTGGGGCTCTGCTTCGAAGCAGGAAGGGTCTGATGGCGCCAGCCACCTTTAGCGTTGGGGTACGGCCGCACTGCACCTGGGAGGTGTCATTTCCGGCTCCAGTAGATGTACACATGCTAGTTTTCATCCGGCCAGATCTCTAAAAATAGCCGGATGGACTAGCTGCCCCAGTGTGACCTTGTCTGAGATCCTAGCTGGGTGGTCGGTGCTGTCGCAGCTGAACTGCGATTTTGAGCAGAGCTAGCACGTGTATGTGTCGCCGAGGTGGACGTACCCTTAGCAACAGAAGCATGCGCTTTCCAGCCACAAGCGGCATCTGCAGCTGTGATCTCCCTCCAGTCAGCTGATCCGAACATAAGAACGGCCGTACCGGGTCAGACCAAAGGTCCATCTAGCCCAGTATCCTGTCTACCGACAGTGGTCAATGCCAGGTGCTCCAGAGGGAGTGGACCAACAAGCAATGATCAAGTGATCTCTCTCCTGCCATCCATCTCCCCCCTCTGACAAACAGAGGCTAGGGACACCATTCCTTACCCATCCTGGCTAATAGCCATTAATGGACTTAACCACCATGAATTTATCCAGTTCTCTTTCAAACACTGTTCTAGAGCTGCTCTGCTCCACCCGGACACGTGTGCCAATTAAGACCCCAGAGCGTTTCCTGCCAGCAGCAGTCGATTGGGGCAGAGACCTTGTCGGGTTATCAGAGCACCGTGCAGACCCCGGGCGCTGTGCCACATCTCCTTCCCTTGCTGCTACGCTCAGGGTGCGTGGAGCCAGCGTTTAACCAGCCGAATTCTGCTTGTCACTCTAGATCAGGATCCCATTGCAGGACGGGAGGAGGAGCAAATCAATAGAAGAGAGAGAAGAGGAGTATCAGAGGGTCAGAGAGCGGATATTTGCGCGAGAGGTAAGGCTGGCTGCTAGCAGAGCTTCCCCCCTTCTTGGTTCTCAAGGTGCTTTTTCTTTGGAGCCCCTCCATGCCCCCGCCAGCTGCCCCCTCCCCCACTCCACGCTTGTTATAATTTTGGCATGTGAATAGACGTATGGGCTCAGGGGGTTGGATCTGGCAGTGGGTTTGCCATTTCACTGACCTGTCATTCTTGAGCGCGGGATCAGTGTCGCTAGGTTAGAAACGGGGGTGTGACAGGTTCCCCCCCGGGGCGCCACCTGGAACTGGGGTACCACTGAGCCCCCTGACCCACCAGCCTGGGCTCCCTCTCACGCTGTGCTGCTGTGACCAGCTGCAAAGCCCTCCAGCCTGCACTTTCACCAGCATTCCCACAGGTAGGGACACACCCAGCTGCAGTTACACACGGGCTCTCTAACCACCAGCTCCCTAGCTTGGGACGCCGGAGCAGTACTGTCCTCGTCAGATCTGGCCAGTATGTGGGTTTAACACCCGGTCCGCCTCTCCCGCAATGTGAAGAGAACAATGCACACTTGTGCTAACCAACAGAGATTTTCCCCAAGCACTCCAGTCAAAGCTCATTGGTTTAGATTAAAACAAAAACAAGTTTATTAACTACAAAAGATGATTTAAAGTGAGTCTAAGGAGTAGCAAACAGATCAAAGCAGATTACCTAGCAAATAAAAAACGCAAACTAAGCTTAATATACTAAAGGGATTGGATATGAATTAGCAGATTCTCACCCAAAGAGATGATACCAGCAGGCTGCAGATCCTTAAGTAGAGTGACCAGATGTCCTGTTTTTATAGGGACAGTTTTTAGGACTTTTCTTATACAGGCACCTATTCCCCCCCCCCCCCCCCCAGTCCCATTTTTTCACAGTTGCTATCTGGTCACCCTATCCTTAAGGGCCAAGCTGCACTTGCTTTACAGCATGGAATCCCCAGGTGTTTCATTCACAGGCTAGAAATCCCTTTAGCCTGGGTCCAGCACTTCCCCCAGTGCAGTCCTTGTTCCTCGGGTGTTTCCAGGAGTCTTCTTGTGAACCCCAGCTGATGTCACTCGCTGCCTTATGTAGCTTTAGCATATGGCGGGAACCCTTTGTTTCAAAGCTTGGTTCCCAGACCAGACTGTGGGAAAATACTGACATCCCAAGATGGAGTCCAGCATCCTGTGGCCTGGTCACATGTCCTCGTAGAGGCATGGCAGCCATGACTCACAGGCTGTGTGGAGTGTTCTCAGGAAGGTTCCCCAGGTAGGAGATAGGCTTCTCCTCAGGCCTATTGTTCTCCCTAGTGGCTCATTGTCCTGAATGGGCCCTTCCCAACCAGCTCTCTAGACTGAAAACATCTTGCCGAGTGGGCGTCACCCAGGCGTAACTACATTTGAAGTACAGATCCATAGTCAATATCCATAACTTCAGAGACAAAAATGACACCTGCACACAAATAGGATAATCCTATTCAGCAAATCATCACTTTTCCAATGGCACCTCACATGACTTATCTTGCATGAAATGCCTCATAATTATGCTATAACCATATCATAGTAATATGAGGTGCAGTGTCATGGGCGGGGGAGATTTTTTGAAAGTGGCTGGTGGTTCCGGGGGCCCCACTTGACACCTGCTTTTCAGACAGGGCAGAGCACCCACTCTCTGGGAATCCGGCCCTTTTCAGTCGGCTCCAATTGGGTACACAAAATCTCCTGGCCCCCGTTTCTAATGTAGCCATGCTGAGCTAGCAGGGGAGGGAATACTGACCGCACCCACGTGTCTGCGCCTTCCAGGATGGGGCTGTTCGCGGGTGTTTTTCTTTCTTTTGCTAAGTGGCCACCTGGAGTGGAAGTTCCTCAAGGAATTTGCTCCCTAGAGGCAGCTGCTGGAGGTAGCAATCCGGCCCCCTGGGGAGGTTACAGGGCGGAAGTGGGGTGCGGGCGGGGGCAGTGCAGTGGTGCGATAGAGGCCGTGCTGAGCAGTGCCTGTTAGCCGCATGCCCTGGGTAGGATTCTTGTGCCAGGACAAACAGGAGGGGTTGGATTTAGTGACCGTTCCCAATGCTAATCTGCGTCTGGGCTGGTTAATAACTTGCTCCTGGCTTTACCTGCCACACCCCCCCCTCCCCCCGAGGGGTCCCGGAGCGCTGAAGAGACCCTGTGCCAAGCCCTGCTGGGAGCTGCCGGGCTTCTGGCCAAGCGGAGAGCAGGATACAGCGCTCCGGGAGCTAGGCAGTGCTACTGGCCGGTGGCCCGGGGGGAGTCATTGTCTAGTGGCCCTCGGGAAACGACCGTGCAACCTCCAGCCGGTGGGGCTGCGTCTGAGCAGAGGGTAGGAAATCGAATGACTCCGCACGCAGCGTTCAGCGTGCCTTGTCGGGAGCCACATGCTGAACTCGGGCGACGCTGCCGGGTGTGAGCCACTGACGTGCTAGAGACTGTGGGAACTATGAAAGCACTGCTGCGTTGCCTAGTGGTTGGAGCAGGGCCAGGGAGTGATCAGGACTCCTGGGTTCTCTTCTGTGTGTGATGAGGAGCGAGTCCCTTCTTCTCTCCATGCTGTGTCAGCCGGTTTATAGACCAGTGCTCTCTAGCACTGGGGGTCTGTGAAGTGCTGGGGCATCGTGGGGAGGAAGGAGCTAGAAAAGGTACCTGATGCTCCGGGGATGGCCCTGGAATAAGAACCTAGACAGAAGTGCAATGTGTCCAGTGGCTTGGAGAGCCAGAGTAACTCAGGAGCATGACGCAGCCCGATCCCAAGCCCAGCCCCGTCTAGCCCCCTCCGCGTTCAGACGCCCCTTTGTTTGTAATGTGCCAATGCTGCTGCCTTATCGGTTATTTTCCCTTTTCTTTTCCCCTCCTCGTCTCCACCCTGCCCTCCACTAGACTGGTCAGAACGGCTATCTAAACGACAGCAGGTTAGTACCATCCAGCATGCTTCACGGCCACGCCTGTAGCTTTCTCAGGGGAGGCCACGGTAACCCTGTAACGATGCTTTTCTCTGATGTTAACCAACAGACTCGCCAAGGAAGGCTTTTCTGCTAGCTCTCACAAAAGGAGGCAGATTTTTAGGTACCTCTGTGTGGTTTCTTGCGTACGTTGTTCTGCAGCGTGAGCTCGCCCCATGCATGGCTGCTTGTGGAGTCCTTTGAGTCGTATCTTTTGCAACATCCGTTGTTTTTTTTGTCTCCCAAACTAAATTGCTGCGGAGTCGTTTTTGCTGATTCATTCCAAACAAGGGCTGAAGGGTCACAGGGGAGGCGAAAGGCTCGTCGGATCATAACACTTCACGAGCCACATGGTCCCACCTGCCTCTGACACCTGCGTTCTCACGGTGATAAACCCCAGCTGTCTAAGCAGGGATCAAATTAGCATCTCATCACACGTGCATCGGTGTTTCGTCCTGGTGGTGGTGGTGTTTGGGGGGGCTGAGCCCTGGCGGTACACGTTCCCCAGGCGTTGCTGCACAGAGCCCAGGGAATCCACTTCAGCCGCATTTTCGGTTGATTTCTTTTAACGGACGGACGGTTCCTTCTGACAAAAGGGGCCAGATTAAGAGCCCTAAGGGCTCTGGGGACCTGCAGAGCAGACAGGCTAGGCCAGGGCTGTGGGCGCTTGGTGCACCGGCCGGGCTGTTCCCCAGGTTTGAAGGTGGTAAGCGAACCAGGAACGTTTGGGAGCTGCTGGCCTAGGCAAACGCAGAGCTACGTTTCCCCCAGCAGCCGGAGGGTGGCAGGAGCGGGCCTCTAGGCAACAGCTGAGTGTGCATGGCCCATTCGCACACTCCCCGGTCCCTGGGAGGCTGCAGGTGTGAGCCCTGCGTGTGACGGGGGCTTTTCAGAGAGGGGGGTACAAAGTTTCAGAAGGGCCTAAGGACTTCGGGGCCTACGTCCTCAGTCCCGCAGGCCATGGCCCTTGTCTGCGGGGAGCTGGACTGACCTGGAGCTTGGCGGTACTGTCGCCTGCTGTCATTCAGTGCCCGGCTCTGTCTCGCTCACTCCCCGTCGCCAGACCTCAGGGCCCCTTGGGCACGGAAGCCGAGCCCACCCGTCGTGCAGCGCCGCGGTGGCATCTCAGGCCGCTGTGCTTGCAGCATGCTCCAAGAAGCCGAACAGCCGCTTGGGATTCATCTTTATCCCCTCCCACGTGGCGGTTCCTGTAATCTCGGCTTTCCGCCACCGCCATCGGGGCAGCGACGTTCAGGGAGGGGCTGGAGCGTCAGGGCTGTGGGGGCAGCAGGGGAACGGCAGGTCCCCGTGCTCCTTAATGTGCAAGGTTCCAATGAACGCTGCTGCCAGTTCAGCGTTTCAGAACGTTCTCTTCGTGCTGTTAATTAACAGATTCACTGCGAAGCGCTCGGTGCTAATGAATGCTCCCGGAGCTCGAGCTGTAGCGAGACTAGTGAGGGCACGGCAGGAGACAGCACTGACGGGCAGTTGCTGTGGGGCAGGGTTCGGACGTGGGCACTGCGGAATGGCTCAGGGTATTAGCAAGGGAGAATCTGGAACCTATCCAGCTGTAGGTCATCGGGGCCAGGCAGGGTCAGGTCTGGGATGGCTGGCAGATGTTCTCACCCGGCCAAAGGAATCGGGGGGATTGCGACAGAGGATTGAAGGGAGACTCCCTCCAGCTCCCTCCTCCGTAGCTCCAAAAGGGCTCCCCATCCCGAATGGGATGGGAGGGATGCCGAGGGGGGTGGGGGTGTTGGAAGCTCGTCCGGCCCCTGCCCTTGCTGTAATGAGACGGTTCAGCCTCCCACCAGCACGACCTTCAGCCGTTAGAAACAAAGCAACTCTGGTTCCCCGGCTGTCGGCCAAGCGAGGGCCGCGGAGGGCACCGGCTGTGGTGTCCAGAAGCTGCGTATACTTTGCTTAGCTGGTTATTTGCCCCCACTGTCCCCCCCCCCCGAGGTGCTGCGGCTTCACCAGTCCGCCCCCTCTGCTGTAGACGTCGAGCTCCCACTCGTACCAGTGTGTCATGTGCAATGTGCATTATCACCCCATGGCTGGGAGCCGGGAAGAGGAGGTGGGCTCTGCTCTGGAGCCTGCATAGCCAAAACACCAGGGTGGGGAGCAGCTGCAGCTTGGGGGGGTCCCGATCAGCTGGAGCCGGTGTTCCGACGGGTGACACAACTCAATGAAAGCCCCGCCCCTCCCGAGGCATGGCCTCGTGGCACCCATTCATGCCCTCTTGGTTTTGCACAATTCCCCCTCTTTGCCTCTTGGGTCCGGGCTCCCAGCCCAGAGGCCGAGGGGATGCCCATTAGTTCAGCTCTGATTGTGCGTCGGGGCGAGCCCGCAAAGCCTCTCTCTCCGGACGGATGGCGTTTGTGACAATTCCCCAGGGACTGCTTCTGGTTCCGCTGCCCCATGCTGTCACACTCACCTTCACGGTGACCCTTCCTCTGGGGGCAGGACGGCTGGAGGGCCCTGCTGCAGAGTGACAGGCCCTTGAGCTGGGGGGGTGTTAGTGTACGTGGGAGCAGACCCCACCGGGGTCTAGGCCAGTGTCTGCCTCAGAAGGGGAGGGTCTGAGAGCTTGACCATCAGGGTATGTCTGCCCTGCAGCTGGACCGAGCACACTACAAATAGCGGTGTGGACGGAGCAGCACCAGCAGAGGCTTGGGCTGGCCGCCCAAGCTCAGACCCGGGGGGAAGAGTGGGCTTGAGCTTGGCTAGCCAGCCCGAGTCTCCACCCAGCTCTTTTCAGTGCACCAGCGGGAGTCTGTCTGCCCAGGCTCGCCCCCAGCTGCAGTGTAGACGTCCCCTTCAGCTCCTGGTGTGAGGAGGGGGTTAGCCGGGTGCATGGATCTCTGGCCAGAGCCAGCCCAGTCCTGCTCTCGGGGCGGCTTGTCAGCGGATCAGCGGGCTCTGGGCTGTTCGTTCCCAAGCAGCCGTGCGAGCGAGGCCATTGGGAAAGCCCCGGGGACTCCCGCAGCCCTGCACCACCCATTTCCCGTGTCTGGTGCCGGCGTGCCGGGCTCCAGAACACCTGCCGCCGCTCGCTCTCGTTCGCCTGCTCCCCTCTGCCGGGAGAGGCCGTGTAACCGCCGTGGTCTCTGCAGGGGGAACCGGGACGCTCTGAACCGGGCCTCGGGCAGCCGTCAGAGCAGCACAGAGAGCGAGCTGAAGTCGCTGGAGCCCCGGCCGTGGAGCAGCACAGACTCGGACAGCTCCATCCGCAACCTGCGCCCGCCCGTCACGAAAGCCAGCAGCTTCAGCGGCATCTCCATCCTCACGCGAGGGGACAGCATCGGGAGCAGCGCCAGCAGGACGGCCAGGCCAGGTACCGCTTTGCCAGAGCCGGGGCCCTGTCCCCGGGCCCACAGCACAGAGCTGGTGATTCCTGTGTCGTGCAATAGCAAGGTGGGGGGGGGGGGCTAGTGCATCTCTGGGCAGCTACCAGATACTGGGGCCTTATCTAACATGTCACCCTGGGGGGACTGGAACTGCTGAGCTCCTGGCCCAGCAACGTGTGTGTTCCCTGCAGTGCCACACTCCCATCCCCTGGGCCTGCAGGTCCTGTGGCACCCATTCCTCCCCCTCCGCGGGCTCTCACTGCCGGAAGAGGACTTTGCCCAGGCAAGGCAAACCGTCCTGCGCTTTTCTTGCTCTCGGGGGGAAGGAGCCGATAATTAGCTGATCTCGTCAGGCTTAACCTAACAGCAGGTCAGATGCTGCCAATTCTTAGAGAGCCACTAATCACAGGCTAGAGTTTCAGACGCACCATAACGGATTCCAACCCCCGTGCCTTGGTGAACCGGCCTGAACTGCCACTGGTCCCCGGCCCGGTGAGCGTGCTGGTTAAGGGCATTCCAGGGGCGTTACCAGCGCTCAGACTGGTTCCTTGTTAGGGAGACCAGCCGTATGTCACAGGCAGAAAAAGCGGCGTGCTGAATTTCCAGGTGTCCTCGGGCGTTTTCAGTGGAGAAAGCTGCGGTTTCATCGTCACTTGAACGCGGTGGTGATGGCCGAGTAGCCACATGGCAACTGACAAAAACCTTAGTCAGCGGACAATGAAATCCTGCTTCCCCCTTCACTGTAACGCTCCCTCCGAAGAGCTGCCATCACCGGGCTGTGCTGAGACTCTGAGCTGAGTTTCGATTCATTAGTTAGTTTAGGTTAGTGGAGTTTTACATCGTTTGGCTTCATCGCAACAACTTGCTCCAGTGAAGGAGTAAAGAACTGACCTTAGAATCTGCCGGGTGTTATTTCAGAGCATAGACTGGCCTTTACAACGGAGCTTTTACCTTGTAACTCCAGGGCTGGGCACATCCCATTGTGAGGCCAGGTTTTCTTAAGAGTTTGGGGCTAGATTTTCACATGCCCAGCACCCACAACTGGGGCTAGATT